ATTTAAAGTCTGAACAGTATAACTGTAATTTTACAACTGTCATGCTATTAAACATCAACAAGTTGATAAAACATCTGTTCTTCAATTTTTCACCCAAGTTGTTATGGTAACCAAAATATGTGGGATGTTTCCTAAATTTAACTGATTATTTCAAGTAAATAAAATTATAACACATCAGCTTATTAACTGCAAGTAATATTATTACTACAAACCTATATTTATCCTTTTTAAATGCTAGTAGATCACAGCCTTATATTTAAGTAGGCATTTACACGTTTCATCTTGGAATTCACATGAAAAAAATAGCAAGGGTATATTTTTTCCATTTGGGGGAGTTATCTTGATTTAAAAACAAAACAAAACAGGAACTAATCTGTTTTCTGAGCAATATAGTACAAGAAAGGACTCCAAAATTAGACAACCGTACTGCTGTGCACAAGTTGCAGATCACATCCTTCCCAACACAAGCTGGAGCCGCTGATGCCCACGACCTTCCCGTCGAGTCCCACCTGTGCACGAGGCCAGGTCCTCCAGGGCCCACCTTCTCCGGCCGCAGTCTGAACTGCTATTTCCTCCCCTTTCCTCACACATCGCCTGGCTTCCAAGGAAACTCTTCTCCCCCAAATTCACAGTTTAAAGCTCTAAACCCCAAGGTGAACACATTTGCAGACAGAGCCTACAAGGAGGTAATTAAGGTTAAATGAGGTCATAAATATGGGACGTTGATCCAATGCCATTAATGTCCTCATAATGAGGGACACCAGAGAGCCAAACTTCTCCCTATCTCCCCTTTTTATCGCTGGCCTTCCGTACTGCAGAATAAGCTTTAGGAAGGGTGGATTTCTGGCTATTTAGTTCACATCAGCTACCACACCTACAACATGACACAAGATATGATTAATAAATACTTACTGAAGGCTTATTTTTGTGTGTGTGTGTGGTACCGGAGATCAAACTCAGGGCCTTGCATTTGCCAGGCAGGCATGGTGCCACTGAGCCACATCCCCAACCCCAAACTTAAAATATCTTAAACTATGGATATACTATGGCAAGAAATAACACATTTTGTAATGATATTCAAAGAAGCCAATAAAAAGATTTACGATCTTCAATAAGTTAAATTAAAAACATCAGAATTTGTGTTCTCACCATAGAAGCACAAAATCTTGCTTTCTTGTTCTCCTGTGAATCTGATCCACACAGGCTATGTCCTTCTCCTACCAATTAAATGTGGAAAACACCTACTCTGGCTTTCCTGTCCCAGAACTTGCTCTCCACTCAATTGCTAGGTGAACTCAACTACTCTCACAGCTTCACATCACCTCTTTGGAGTAACTGTGAGGTCGTCATCTCTGGCCTAGATCTGTGTGTGCTTGGGTGCTGCGCTGTCTTCCTAAAGACCCATAGGGCATGCATCATTTAAGCCATACCATCAGAAACATCAAAGGACAGCGCTTTAGGTAGATTATAACACTGTACCCATCTGAGTGGAAAAAAAAAATCCTAAACAAAACAATTCTAAAATGTTATCTTTAGTTGAGTATAGATTCACATAATTCCACATTCTGCCTGAGGAACTGCTTTCTTTCATCATAGAAATTAGACCTGTGGCAACAGGGAATTATAATCTTTGAGTTATGACTATGTATTCTAATTAACAGCATACCCTTACACTAATTATCAGTTTCACTTCAACCACTGAACTATTCCCAATATTGCAGTAAAGTTTTATTGCTTTCAAATTGAATTTAATCACTTGGGGGGGAAATATAAGAAATTTATCTGAAGATTTCAAATTAAGTTTCTGAACTGGGATAGTTTATTTTTAGAAGAAAAATAACTCCCATGTTTTTCTTCAACATTGGCTCCCAAATAACATTCGTTTCTCCAACCATTTTTCTCCATAATCACTAATCAACTAATTATTATTTTAAAAACAAAAATTTTTTAAAGCACATTTTTTAAATCTCTCTGAAGATACTCAGTAATTAGATGAAATGATAACTTGGAATTTAGGAAAGCCTTTTTATCAAAGTTGGTTAGTAGAATTCATTATCATCCTTTAACAAACTATTTATTTTTAAAATTTCATTCAGCAAAAATAAAAGGAGGAATTTCCAAGAGAAATCATAGGTTTACTGTGGCTTTAGAGCCAAGCTCGGCCTCAGAGCGTGCTAAAAAGCCCACAGTTCCTGGGCAGCAGCACTGAGAAGGCTCTGAGAGGCAGTGACACCCAACACACTCAGTCACCGGGGAGACACTCTGCGAGGCCTACACTGCCCTGGAAGGTGAGGGATTGCTACATACTAAATCAGGCAAATTTTATTGCTCTTTCTTTCTCAAGTATTTTTTCTTCAAATTAAGAATATAAATGAAATTGGGTTGGGGTAAGTGTTGCTATAGACTGAATGTTTGTGACCCTTCAGACTCATATGTGATGGTGACTGAGGGCAAGGCCTTGGAGCAGTGCTAGGATCATGACAGTAGAGCCCTAGTGACTGGGATTAGGGGCCCCAAGCCCCTTCTTATCTTATGAGGTTACTACAGAAGACAACTGTCCATGAGCTGGGAAACAGGCCTTCACCAGGGATCCAACTTGCTGGCACTTTAATCTAAGACTTTCTAGTCTCCAAAACTGTGAGAAACAAATTTATAAGCCACTGAGTCCATGGTAATCTGTAATAGCTGCCAACTAAGACAGCTGTTAAGAAGCCAAGCTCAGGGGTCTGCAATGCTCACGGAAGGCACAAAGTATGCTCGTATTATCAACAAATCCTGTCATCTTTCCTTTCGAAATACATCCAGAATCTGACCAATTCTCTCCCGCTCTTCTGCTGCCACTATCACCTTGTACCAGGATTAAAGAACCTCCTCAGCGGTCCCAACTCCAGGCTTGCCCTTCCACCCTCCCACTCTCCACACAGAAACCCCTGTGATCACTACAGAACCTGAGGCTGAGCCCTGTATGTCCATTGACAGGTGAATGGGTAAAGAACATGTGGTATTTAAACACAATGGAGTACTACGCTGCCATAAAGGGTAAACTTGAGTCATCTGCAGGAAAACAGACACACCTTCAGACCATAATGTCAAGTGAAACAAATCAGACGCACAAGCTTAATTATCACATGGTTTCTCTTATATGAGAATCCCCAAATATAAATAAAGAGAAAGGTAAAAGATGGATAGTAGGAAATAGGGACACAGATCTTTCACAAATGGGAAGGAGACGAAGAGAAGGAAGACAGAGGAAGGAGGGAGGGAAGGGGACAGAAAAATAATTAGGATGTGTTATGTACGTGTACCAACTCCCCATGAGGACTGTAATCATTATGTACTACAACACATGCTAATAAAAAATAAATAAAAATGGACAAAATCAAAAAAGAACATGAGACTGTCCAAGTCTCTCCTCTGTTCCAAACCTCTACTGGCCCAAAGTAAAATTCGGTCCTTACAATGCCCAATCTTTCACAGCCTAGTCCCTTGGTACCTCCCTTTCTTTACTCAGCCCCATGTCTTCCTTGATACTCCACGAACACACCAAGCATCCCTCGTGTCTGGTCCTCCGACGAGCTGCTTCCCCAACTACAAGGCTCTCCCTCCAGGCAGGCACAGGACTTATGCCCCTTCCCCTTTCCTGATCCTGTCCAGTCAGGCCTTCCTAGACAGCAGAACGCAGAACAGTGCTTCTTCTCTGCCACCTGGCCTCTCTGATCTCTTGCACTTACCTTACTGATGCCCAACATACTGTCTCTTTGTTAACTGCATTATCTACTAGAGTGCGAGCATTGACAAAGCACAGACTGTTTTGTCCCTTGTCGTTCACCAGAAATAGGGCACAGAATGGTAGATTACCAATAAATATCAGTAAGAACTGATCAAATGAATTGATGAATCTTATGCTTGTTTATCTCAAAGTAAATGCAGATTTTTCTTCCTTAAAAACCATATTACAGGGGCCAGGGATTTAGTTCAGTGGTTCTGGCGCCTGCCTCACAACTTCAAGGTCCCAAGTTTGATCCCCGGTACCGAAAAAAAAAACAACAAAAAAACCAAAAAAAAACATATTACTATATTTATACTTTCTTATGATGATTATATTTCTTGTATTCAATTTTATGCTTAGCTTTGCATCATTAAAATAGAAAGAACCACACCTCTTTAGCTTTCTATGGCCTACGTGTAGCATTTTCTCTTTTAACAGGTACTCATATTTGTGGATCTAAATTTGAAGTCATAGTGAAAGATATTTCTTTCATACACATGATCTGCTGTGTGTTTCTTGAGCAAATAACCCAGTGCTAATTTCTAAATTGCCAAAGAGTGTTCACCTTTCATAACCAACTGACGACAGAGTGTCCTGCCTCACTCAGCAATGCCTGGCATGCATTTGTACTGATGTGGAAACCACAGAAAGAATCTGAGTGATGTGACAAGTCATTTTTAGGTCTAGTAAAACCTATCTGGGACATAGCTGCATCAGCCTGATCCATAAATTAGTTTTACCAAAAAAGAGCCAGACAACACATGTGTCATTCTATCTTTACAAAGAAACAACCAGAAGCAAACCGTTAACAGACTTTTTCCCCTAAGAAAACAACTGAAACTAACGCTCATTTGACCCCAAATTTCTATACAACCCATTATTTGGTATTTTTTAACAAAAACCTTACATCACCAAGGAAAGATTAAATTATGATCAATAAATTGAAAACAACAACATGCCCTGTTTTAAACTTTTATCGAGTCAGATATAATTAAAGATTAAATCTTCACCATTAGAAAAAGTCAACTGTACAAAGCAATTTATTTTCTAAGATATGTGGACAAGCAGTATTTTACTTTTAGCCCAATCATTGGAAAACTGATATTCCATAATTATAGTAATCAAAGTAGCTGACATATTACAATTCTTGTTCTGTGCAAAAGAAGGAACAGCATTACCAGTAAATGATACAGTAAAATAATTAATTCTGCCTTATAGAATGTTAGCTCACCTCTGGTATAAGTCTATCCAAGTGCTCAGCTCGGTTTCCATGAGAAGGGTGTGTAGATAACCACTCTGGCAACTTGGGATGACCATGTAGGATGTCTGTAAACTCCATCTGCTGCCAAAACACTGAACTGGCTCTTACATCCACACAAGCCTAAAACCAAAATTAATAAAAGCACAGACACCATAAGCTTGTTCTGAGAACAATTTTTAAAAAATTATGTTACTACATTATTTTTTTTCAAAGGAGGAGGTTAGGGGAGTTTTTATTGGAAATAAGGAGAAGAATAGCTCCTGGATGTTCAGGAGGGGTCCCAAATGGGGTGGCCCATCGCTACATATTTTTTAAACATTTTCTATCACCATTTTAGTAAAAGTAGTATTGCTTTAAAAAAAGAAAAACTCAACCAATATAGTATTACAGAAAAGGATATTACCACCCTCCTGTGTCACTCCTCTCCCTATGCAGCATTCATAATAATCCCACCCCCAAAGATAATCCACTATCTTCAGCATAATGTATACTAACAACATGTGTTAAGGGTAAAATCTATATAAATTAAAATTTTCTAGCATTTTTAAAGGTCTTAACAGAGAACCTGTTATTAAATTAGACTAGAGAAATTTTATTTCTAATCTGTACTCACTGGAACAACTGAGAAGTCTTCAAATAAAAATGCAGAATGAAAAGACAGTTATTTAATGGACATCAACTTATCTACTTTTCCTCAATGTATGTGCAAAATAATATATAAGCCATTTAAAATATCTCATAAATGTTTGTTATAGAACATTTCTATAAGACTACTTAAGAAACTACTAACTAGGGGCCAGGGGTGTAGCTCAGTGGCACCGCACTTGCCTGGCAAGTGCAAGGTCCTGAGTTCAATCCCCGGTACCAAAAAAAAAGGGATCTACTAACTGTGGTTACCCTAAGAAGGTAAATGAGGTATCTGATGGTGGAGAGAGCATAGGAATTTTACTTCTGATTTACATTAAAGTATGTCTGCAACAAAAATTATTTTTAAATCCTTCATGAGGTAGTTTAATATTTTTTTAGGCCTATTCAACTTCTTCATATTTCTTAACTTACTCTTTCTACAAGAAGTATCAGGAAAGTAAGTGATTATAACAATTTTACTTGGATTAAAATGGAAAAAGAAATCACATTTTATACACTAAAATGCGGTATCAAAAACCCTTCAAATAATGTGACTCTGGCATCCAAAAAGGAAAATATAAAACACATGCTAATTACAGCTAAGTAATGTCTACACTGTTTCATATCAAGCATCATTAAAATATTTTCAAGCTTGGAAAATAAAGAAAAAAATTATTTGAAATTCAAATAAAATTTATTCAATATTCAAAGCAATATAATTCTTTAAGATTTTTGACTACTCTGAATATAACTGAGTCCAGGGTACTTTATCCAACTGCACAGATATGGATATACATGTATATGTGTATCTAAACAGGAATAATGAGAGAAATGCACATATCAAACATATTTAACCCATGTTCTTCATATACAGATACAAGTCTCTATATGTGCAACATATGTGTAATATAGGTAACATATATTATATATATACACACACATATTCACACAGGAATAATTAGTATTTATGGCTGAATTACAAATATCTACAGTAATACGTCCCTCAATATTCAGAGGTCACCAGGTTACCACATTGACAATACAAATAAAAGCTGAGACAAGAAAGGTAATCTTCTACAATAATTTTAAATATACGATGACTTAAAAGAATTCCAACTGAAATCATATCCGTTTTAAAAGTGCAGCTTTCCAAGCATGGTGGCACATGCCTGTAACCCCAGCACTGGGAGGCTGAGGTAAGGAAACTGCCACAAGTTTGAGGCCAACATGGACTACACAGTGCGTTTAAGACCAGCCTGAACTATATAGTGAGACCCTGTCTCAAACAATGAAAAAAAAGTACAGTTTATCTAGCAGAGAAAACAAACAAAATACCAAAAACTGGAAGATAAACATTTCAACAGGTCTTACAAATTCATAAATTATCTGACTAAATGTTTCCTATACAAACCAAAGGCATACTTTTGTGGTTTTTTTTTTTAGTCAGCAAGTGTTAGTCAAAAGACAATAATTCTCTGTTCAATTTCAAAGTAACTCAGTTGAAGCCAATCCATAAACATTTTTATACAGAAACAGAAATTATCTCAATAAAATACAAAATTATTTCAAACTAAAAATATTTTTTAAAGATCACTGGGTGAGTGAAGTGAGCAAGATGGTGGAATAGAAGTCAGGCCCCATGGCCAACACAAAGTACAACTAGCAAGTGTCCACAGACTGGAACATCCTGCTGAAGATACTAACACATGGAAACAAACTTGAGGTGCAGGTGTAAGAACAGTCTTCCTCTTGCAACATCACTCTTCTGACTCACCAGATCTGCACAAAACCAGGCAGAGATGATTTTCCTGGGCCCACAACTAATACAGAGGAAATCCAAACCAGAGGCAGTCATCTATCTTCCTGAGCCCTCCAAGATAGGAGGGAAACAAATCAATACAAGTCACATACAAAGGAAAGCCCATCAATACACTCAAGCCCATCAGAATCACAGCAGACTTCTCAACGCAAACTCTCAGGGAGCATACTCAGTCTCACCTCACAGGGAAAGCACTTGGGTAAATGGTACAGCCAGACTACCCAGGCTCAGGTAAAAACAAAGAAGTGAAGCAGGGGACACAGTGACCAGCTAGTAAGTTTTGGTGGTACCTACCTGATCAGAGGTGTTAGTTAAAATCGCAGCCTACCCAACAAGGCTGAGCATGTCACCTCCAAAAGCAAGTGTAAAGCACAACCCAGCTTGAGTTCCTAGACTGTCAATCTCCCTAACCACCCTCAGAGCCCACTCCAATGACTCCACCAAGGCAGGGAAAGCCTGCTTCCAACTATTTCAGAGAAAGGAAAAGGTTAGACCAGCTTGATCCAGGAAGTCAAGCAATAGGTCTACCAAGTCAAAAGGCACTCCCAATCAATGACCTTGCTCAGGCTGGAAGACTTACACCTCAGCACATCTTGGAGAAGCACTAGGGCTAAGCCCAGCTTGACACAAAAAGTTAAACACCTGCTTTGCTCAGTCCAAAAGCCCACCCAAAACAAGCTCTGCTTTCTTGGGGTTACCACTAGCTGATCCTCCAGAATCACAACGTAGACTAAATAGTGAAGGGCTATCCTTGGCAAAGAATACCTCTGAAGGCCAGAAGAGGATATTCCTCTAATGTGTGGACAACAATGTAAGGACAGAAGGATTACCAAGAATAAGGGAATCAAGTCATTTTGAAAAGAAACTAATAAAATTCTAATAATGGTCCCCCAAGAAATGGAAATCTATAAAATAACAAAGAGTTCACAATAACACTCATGAAGAAGTTTTGTGAACTATGAAAATACGGGGAAAAAATTTAATGAAATTTAGAAAACAATCCATAAAAAAAGTGAGACGTATGACAAACAGAAACAATAAATAAGAACCAAGCAGAAATTCTACAGATGAAGAATATATTGACTAACATGGAAAAGTTAATGAAAAACTTCAACAGCAGACTGTGTCAAGCAAACTAGAAGACACTGGAAGTTCACCAGTGAAAAAGAAGATAGCCTATGGGACTTATGGAATACTCCATACATTCTGGTTATGAGTTATAGGGGAAAAAAAGTCAGAAAGTATATTTAACAGTTGAAAGTGTCCAAATCTTCCCAAAGATGCCAATAATCAGTTACAGAAAGTGCAGAGGTCATTAATGAAATCCAATCCAAAGAGAAGCACACTCTGACATACAATAACCAACTACCAAAAAATCAAAGACAAAGACAAAGTTCTAAGAGAAACAAAAGGTAAGAGACACATCACACATAAAGGAGTCAACATAACTATCAGCATTTTTTTTCTTCTTGGGGTACTGGGAGTTGAACCCAGGGCCTCTCTTAATCAGTGTTGGTTTGAAATCCATTTGATCTGCAAAGAGGATAGCTACTCCTGCTTTTTTTCGGGTTCCTGTCACATGGAGTATTGTTTTCCATCCTTTAACTTTCAGTCTATGAGTTTCTTTTTGAACTAAATGTGTTTCTTGTATTCAGCATATTGTTGGATCTTGCTTCTTGACCCATTCTGCCAGTCTATTTCTTTTGATTGCTGAATTGAGGCCACTAACATGGATGGTTATAACTGATATGTTATAACATTGACTTAACATTGTCATGACTCTTTCTTTTTGTTGGATTCTCCAGCTTTACATTTAATTTCTTGTCGCACCCGATGGGTTCATTCTCCTGTGCTTCCTGGGGTTGTGATCCTCATTTTCTGTTCCTAGGATATTGTCTAAAATTTTTTAGAGTGCTGGTTTGGTA